GGTCCCGGTGCCAGCAGCCCTGGGCACAGCTCTCCTCCCCTCACGGCCGTCCTCCCCTGGGCCCCCAGACCCGGTGTCCCCCACAGGACAGCTGCGCCCCTACGTAAACTCGGGCACCGTGGCTTTCTCCGGGCCAGCCCCCCATGCTGCCTGCCTGGCACCCCGGCCCCCGACACTGTCACGGGGCGGGGGAGCGAAGCTACGGCCCAAACTCTTCTCCCCATCTGAACTGCGAGTCCTTCTGCTTGCAACGGCCTCAGCCTCTTGGCTTCTCTACGGGAGTATTTAACCTAAGTAAAACCGTTCAAAAGATAGACCTCTTCAGTTTCAGATAATTTTCTTCTACTCTTCTGCTCCCTTCTGTAGCTGGCTTTGTAGGTTTCAGGGCTGATTAAAAAAAAAAAAAAAAAAAAGGCCAGGCTTGGTGGCGCACACCTGTAATCCCAGCACTCAGAAGGCTGAGGCAGGAGGATCACAAATTTGAGGCCAGCCTGGGCTACACAGTGAAGTACTTAGCAAGATGCTGTCTCAAAACAAATTAATTAATCAATTAAAATAAAATACTACATACCAGACATGATGGCACACATCTGTAATCCCAGAGATTTGGGAGGCTGAGGCAGAAGGATCACTGTGAGTTTGAGGCCAGCCAGGGCAACATAGTGAGTTCAGGGCCAGCCTGGACCGCATAGCAAGACTCTATATCAAACAACAACAAAATAGGAAGAAAAGAAAATTGCAAGAAGGACAGGGCAAGTGTGTTTGAAGCGAGGGAGTATTTCGGGGAGACTGATGACACTGTGCCTTTTACTGTAATACTTCTTTATTTAGTGATTCACCATATTTTGCCACCATACCTTGTAGTGCTAGGCAAACAGTAGGGCGGTGTTTATTGAGGTGGGATCTTGCTGTATAATCCAGGTTCACTGAGTAGCATAGGCTCTAATTTGCAGCCCTCCTGCCTCAGCCTCCCAGAGAGCTGGGCTCACAGGCATGAGCCACCATCCCCAACAAACAGATTTTTAATCTGTATTTGCTTTCTCCTTTTAATGTCACTTTGATCACAGAAAACAGCTCACTAAAATCTGGGTTATGAGGATCATGGAATTTCAAGAGAAGGAACCACTGGCTCTCTTCAGTGGGTGTCGGTGCTAAAACATATCAGGGGGCTCCTCTCCAGAGATTCTGATTTTACTTGATTTAGGACACAATCCAGGAATGTTTAAAAGGTAGCCCAAGCTGCTGGACACAGTGATACAAACCCAGCTGCCTGGGAGACTGAGTCAGGAGGGTCTACAAGTTCAAGGACAGCCCAGGAGAATGCTTGCCTGGCATGCACAAGGCCCTAGGTTCAATCCGTGGTACGGAAAAAGAAAAGGCTCAGGCTGCTCTCCAGGCCTCAAGAATCAGCCCAAAAGTGCAGGCCCAGAACCAAGGCTAGGAGCCCTGGGTGACACTTTATCAGCTGACTGCCGTCTGTCCACATCAGGTACCTGGATGTTTCGTGCTTGCCTTCTCACCCCACTCCTGTTGTGTAATTTTGGCCTCTCGCAGACAACACAGACTTTCAAATTCACCCTCTCAGAGATGAGAGAAATCACCCAGCATTCAGTCTGATAAATGCTTCAGATAAGGAGAAGGGCTGAGAGGAGGAGGATATTGGAAACAGTTTCCTTTGCTACGCCATCATTTTATTTTTGAGCAATAAAGGCTCTTTTGTTTGATTATGAAAATAATCTGTGAAGAGCCAGGCATGGATTCAAACCCAGCAGGGGACCTCAGTACAGTATATATATATATATGATTTATACACACACACACGCACACACACACACACGATTAATATATGTACTCATAATATCTACATTACATGCGTAAGGGGAAAACGTTCCTTGGTGTTCTGGCCCAGGCTATGCCTGTGAGTCGCCCCCCGGTTCTCAGCCCCTGGGGTCCACAGGTGGCCCTGGATATTTGTCCCTAGAGGCAGGGAAGGGTCTAACTGAGCCGTGCTGTGACCACAACAAAATGTCACCTACTCAAGCTGAATAAGTGATCCGCTATCTATTCATAGCACAGTGTCCTGTTAGAGATAAAAATCAAGAAATAGAGAATATTTCCTGGAAAAGGACTGATTCAGGGAAGCAAGTAATCCAAACAAGCAAAAATAGTGCAAACAAGGGAAGTAGTGTAACTCCCAACCCGAAACGAGAACTGGTGTTCTCTAGAATTGAAGAAGGAATTCTAAGAACAACAGAAGCTAACAGTAGGAAGAATTTAATGAGAGAAAGACAGCTTCTAAGAGACAGAAGGGGGACTAGAAAGTGGGTTGCCAGCCCACCCTGCTCTCAAACTTGTTTTATGGGGCAAAACTATAAGATCCAGTGGAAAATCATGAGGAAGGACAAAATCATGACCGACCAATATGATTATAAGTACAGCCACCCAGGTAATATTGATTAAATGAAGCCAGGAATTTAGCTCCGTGGCACCGCACCTGCCTCACAAGCACAAGATCCTGAGTTCGATCCCTGGTACTAAAAAAAAAAAAAAAAAAAATCAATATTGATTAAATGGAGAACAAGTCACCTAACAAGTGTACACAGAATGAACAAGGAATTTCTGGCAAGGAAATGGGCTAGGACACTTGATGCCTACTTAGAATATTAATCACTGCTATTCATCCCTAGAGGAACTAGGTGGGTACAATATCTTTTCTTTTTTTTGTTTGTTTGTTTTGAGATTAAGTCTCCAGGCTCACTGTGTAGTTCAGGCTGACTTTGAACTCACTAGATAGCCCAGGCTGGGCTCAAACTGTCTCTCCGCAATCCTCCTGCCTCAGCCTCCCTGGTGCTGGGATGACAGATGTGCAACTACACAGCTACTTTTGCTCTCCAAGAGCTCAAAAGTACAGATGTGTCATGACCAAAATATATGGTGAATGTTTGAATTTTTAAAATGTATTAAAATAAAAGACACATTGCCATCAATCCCCTCACTGCCGACACACCAGCCCCGTCATCCCTGCCACTTTCTGAAGCAGTTCTGAGTCCTCTCTCCGGAGCATCTTGTGCGGCTCTGGTTGCCTCTGTGTCCTGAATCCGCTCGAAATGTTTCCCTTTCACGGACCTTGTGACTTCGGAAGGAGCCGGAGTCGCGTGGTGTGGATGCGTCTCCATCACCCAGAGTAATGCTGCTGTAAATATTCTTCACTGAGTCAGGTGGGCCTGGCCGACTCCCTCCTGTCCCTGAGGGAAGGGAGCCCGCATCTGGGCGGGGAGTCACACAGGCAGAGCCCAGGAGTCAGAGCTGCTTCCTTGCCTTGCCCAGCTGGCGTCGACTCCGGCAGTGTCCGGCGTCCCATCCTCTGGTGACCCAGGCTCCTCCTCTGACACATGCTTTCTGAGATTCCTGCCAAGTGCCCAGGGCTACCTGAAAACAGCCGTTCCATCCTGCACGGATTCCCAGAACCCGTAGGCTGGCCTCATAATTACAAACCTCAATGCACAGACAAGGAAAACGGGTGGAGATGGAGAATAAGACAGATTATGTAACAGAACACAGGGGCAGGGTGGTGCACGCCTGTAATCCGGGCACACTGGGAGGCTGAGGCAGGAAGATTCCTAGTTTGAGTCCAGCCTGGGCGATTTAGAGAGGTGCTATCTTGAAAT